GTGTGTGCTCACCAGAAAGAGACAGACAGAGAGACAGAAAGTGAGAAATCATGCCCCAGGGAGGATGCCCACACCATAATCCCTTCTCCTCCATTCTCTTCGGGATCTTAGGCATGCAAGCACATGAATCCAGCATGACTTTAAGTCACCAGGTCCAGGACTCGAACCGCGGTCAATTACATGGGAGTCCAGAGAAATAGCCATTGTGCCAACTGCTCGTCTCTTTTTTGTATTTTATAATTTCCTATTTACATTTAATTTTTGTACATCTCTGTAGTTACAACATGGATTTTCAAAGCACGCACACAGTGTGTGATAATCAAACCAAGGATAATACCATGTTCATCATTTTCACCAAAGACACCACATGACGATGTGTACCATCCGTTTTAAAAGATTGGCAACGTCTCTCTTTTTTTCCACTCAGTTGTGGTATACGTTCCACATCCATTTGCCCTATCTATCTGCATTCATATTAAACGCCTCTCCTGATCCCCTACTCTCATCCCCTGCCCTCATGCAGTCTCTGATTTCCACAGTTGTCCTCTCTACTACATCTTCCAATCTTTCCATTTCTGCCGTAGAATATAGATGTTCAGTCCTGGGAGAGAACACGCGGTGTGTTCCTTTCAGTCTAACTGCACCTAGCATTACATCTTCTAGATTCATCTACTTTGTATCAAGTGACAGGATCTCACTGCTCTGTATGGCTGAGTAGTATTCCATTGTGGATTTGTGCCACATTTGCTTAATCCAGTCATCAGTTGTGCGCTTGGGTTGATTCTGTCTTAGCTATTATGAATAATGCTACGATAACATGGATGTGCAAGTGTTTTTCCCCTAAGTAATTTCCTGCCCTTAGTAAATACCCAGGAGTGGGATTATTAGGTCATATTGGGTTCTGTGTGTAAATTTTTGAGGAACCTCTATATTGTTTTCCACAGCGGCTGTACTATGGGTCGTCAGAAAAGTCATGACATATTTTCTATGCAAAAATGCACCATGACTTTTCTGAAGACCCAATAATTTACATTCCCACCAACCCTCTTAAGAAAGAGATTTGAATAATGCAGAGAATACCTGACAGTGTTCTTTCTGTTTTCTCTCCTATCTTTGTGCTCCAGTGGGACACAAAGTTATGAAGACACCCAAGGAAAGGGTGATATTTCAGAGCATACGTCAATAGATATAGGCTTCATGTCACCTCTGTGCAGAAAAGGCACAAGGGTTGGTAAAGAAACTGTCTATAAAAATAGGTTAATCTAGTTTGGGAAAAGAGAAAGAGGAAAAGGACATTTCCAGAAATTAGAGTAGTTTTCTTTCATACTAATCAAGCTTGGAATTCAGATGCGGAATTAAAATAGCATCGAAAGTTATAATAAAATATACCATAGTCAGTAGAGAATCTTTATCTCTCAAATTTCCCTCAGAATGGCCTAAGAACAACTGTGACGAACAAGTCTGCAGGGCCAGATGCACTCTGAGGCTTCCATCTTCAACTCACTCCCAGCTCATTCTTCATCTTAGAATTCAGTTTGAAATCACTTCCATGTTTTTTAAACATTCTCTGCTTTTCCAAACCATTCTTGAGAATATTATGACTCAGGCTTCACAGATACAAACAACACGACGCCTGGGAGGTCCAGAGCCCATTGGTCTGAGCCTCACAGGGGCTGAAGCACCAGTCATGTGGGAAACAACACAGAAGAGTGGGTACCAAGGACTCGTGGAGCCCCAGGGCTGAGGATGGCTGCCTGGAACACATTGCTTCCCAGAAAAGACTGCTGATCCCCAGGGAGCCAGGGAGGAGGCGGACAGTGTGGACAAGCGTAGGACTCTAAGCTACAGACATTTCCGCGCTGCCTGTCATTTCTGTTTTTTATAAAAGAAGTATTTTATTTAACTTTATTTACTTATTTATTTTAATTTGACCAGAGAGGGGCAGAGCAAGAGTGAGTGAGAGGGAAAGCCACCAGATTCAGAACTCAAACCACAGCTGGCCATATGAGAGTCCAGCCCCCTTAACCACCATGCCACCCGCCGGCCCGCGCCTGTCCTATCTCCTAAGCTCGTCTTCATCGTTTGAAGGATGGCATTCTCCAGCTCCATAGTCTCCTTACTAGATAGTAGTTCCCTGTCCTAAACAACTACTTTGCATCCTAAGATCATTTAAAGGAAGACAGGTTCGGTGTTAGTTTAGGAGAGGAGATAGGAGAAAAAAATGAAAAGGATACTACTAGTTATTCTCAGTCACTTTTCAATGATTGCTCTTCAAAGTGGTTATTGAAGCTAAAATACTTCCCCCTTTTATTTTTCAAAGCACATCCCGTTAATTCCCCCCCCCCCAAAAAAATAAACTTATGTTGGGCTATATATGTGTATATAGCAGTGGGCATATGGGATATAGCTCCCTTAATCAGCACACTATGGAGCAGCCCTGACTTACTTCTTTGTACTAATCAGGCCAAAGAACAGTACTTTGTGTGGCATGTGTGCAGCCAAGTCCTCCTGCCACAGTGCTCCCTGCTGGAATACAGGCTCATGCCTCCACACCTGGCCCTTTGGTAGGCAAGATCTCACTGAGTCTCTGAGGCCAGCCTCGAACTTGTGATCCTCCTCTCCTGCCTCCGTCTCCTCAGTTGCTGGAGAGACACACACCATCACACCTGGCGAAACAGCCTTGTCAAAGCATAGTCTTGAGTCTTAGCATCTATGGGGGTTCGTTCATTAGCTATTAGAATTAGTTTTGCAAATTCCCTTTGTGCACTGCCCTGCTAAGACTGCAAGAAAGTGATCTCATGCTGTCACACTCCAGGTCATGAGGCCATCAAGCTACAAGGGATTAGTCAGCGCATAACAAGGACAATCGGGAATTGAGCTAAAAAGCTACCATCTCTACCAGGAGACAACTGTTCGCTTTACGGAACCCCTCAGGGCTCAACCACACTCAGCAGCTATCAGTATCCACTGGAAAAATCAATCCTTTGAAAAGTGAGTAACAAATTTCTGAAGTCTTTCCCACCACATTATCAAGATTCTCCTTGTAACTTATATCTTGATGTTTTTAAACCATAGCATTACTTTTTTATCAGTTTCTCTCTGGTTTTGTCCAGAAAAATCACTCTGACTTTTTAAGGAAAATCACTCTGACTTTTTAAGGGCACAAGAAAAGAATGGTGCTATTTGATTTATAACCAATTACCCAATGTCCTCATTAACAAAAGATATCAACTGGTCACTCGGCACTGGTTTTCTGACCCATCAGCTAATTTAGTAATGTCATAAGAGTTATAAAAAGAATGCCATTCCCTTACTTCGGAAGTCTTTCCAGCACGGTTTTCAGTTCTTCACAAATGAGCTTGACCAGTCCATTCTTTATGTTACTGTATGAAACATCGATCATGAAGATAAAGGCTGGTGGGTTGGGAGGCTTATTGTTCTATGGGAAAGGAGACATATCACATAAATAGACATAATTATAAAGTAAGTACATTTCCTAATCAAATTGAAACACTATGAAAAACTCAAGACTCATCAGATGGTTCATATAATTTCTGAAGAATTCACTTTCTAGAACACAGCCTTTGATTCTATGAAAAAAATAAAAAAGATAAAGGAAGCTATTTATGGGACCAGCAGATGGCATAGGGGTTACATCACTGGACTCCCACATGGCTGACTGCAGTTTGAGACTCACACCCAGTGGCTTCAAACTCACACCGGGCTTGTGTGTGTGCATACCCAAGATCCCGAGAGGAAAATGAAGGAGAAGGGACGGAGGTATGGTCATCCCCAGAGGGGATGATTTCTTTCTCTTTCACTGTCTCTATCTGTCTGTCTCTCAGTGAACGCACACACCCTAAAGCAAAAACCTCTCAAAAAAAATATATTTTCCGGGATGCCAGCACCTTAGACTCAGAATTTTACAAGTTATGACCAGTTCCCCCATTGTACTAGTCTTTCTTATAAGGGAACTTATAGAAAACACAATCCTCTAAAATAGTATGGGCTTAACTTTTCATTTTCTCTGTGAGACTGTCCACCCCTTTTGCAGCTCTTCTAGTTCTCATACCCAAATTTAGGCCCTAAATTTGCCCTGTTTTAGATGGTTTTTAATTGTGTTTAAAGAAAAATAAAAATTAGCATGTTAACTGTTGTAAGTATACAGTATACCAGCAGTAAGCACATCCCACTGTGAGGGAGTGGTCACCACTATCCATCTCCAGAACTCTTCATCTTGGAAAACCAACATGTCTGTAACCTATTAAACAAGTTCCAACTCCTCCTCTCTTCAGTATTTTACTTCCTGTCTCCCTATCTTACACAAGTAGAATCACAATGTTTACCTTTCTCTGTGGCTGCTAATTTCACTTAGTGTGATACCCTCAACAATCATTGATATTGTGGCATGTGTCAGAATCTCCTTCCTTTTTGAGGCTGAGTAGAATTCCATCCTATATATATATATATACACACCACATTTTGTTCATCCATTTGTCCTTCGAGGGGTGTGTGTTTGCTTTTGGCTATTGTGAATAATGCCACTAGGAACATGGATATGTTAATATCTTTTTGAGACTCTGCTTTCAATTACTTTGGGAATACATACAGAAGTAGAATTGCTGGAGAGCATGGTAATTCTTTTACTTATTTTTTTGTTTGTTTTTAGAGATTTTTGCTATAGGGTACGTGTACTTATTAGAGAGACAGAGAAATGGAGAAACAGAAAGCGAGAAATCACCCCCATGGGTGAAGGCCACATCGCAATCCCTTCTCCTCTTGGGATTTTCGGCATGCATGCACACATACCCAGCTTGAGTTTCAAGCCATGGGTCAGCCATGTGGGGGTCTGGCAATGTAACTATTATGCCATCTGCTGGTTCCATGCATGGTAATTCTATTTTTAATTTTGTGAGGAATTGCCATACTACCCTCATTTTCTCTTTCTCTTTTTAAAGAATTATTTATTTAATTTGATTTATTTATTTGTAAAGATTATTATTATTATTATTATTATTAACTTTGCTATAGGGTATGTGTGCTCATCAGAGAGAGAGAGAGAAAGAGAGAAAGAGAGAGAGGGGGAGAGGGAAAGAAAGAGAGAGAAAGAGAGAGAGAGAGAGAACATGAAAAAGCAAGCCACCAGGTTTGGGACTCAAACAGCAGTTGGCCATGTGGGAGTTGAGTGTCTTAACCACCATGCTGCTAGCTGGCCCCACTCTCATTTTCTCTTACTTAGACTGCAACATTAATACCTAATGCAATTAACCTCTAATTGCCTCCGATCTCTCTTCTCATAGACTACTCTTAGGGCACATATGTGAGGCACTGCACAGAGCACAACACTACCTTCTCTGGGATCAAGAAGTTTACCGAGTCCCCAGAGCCTAGCATGGGAACAAAAAGGCGTGCATGGTAACTGTTGATTGACTTAATGCATGGATGTGTGGATGGATGATGGATGGATGTATGGATGGATAATGGATAAATGGGTGGATGGATGGGTGGATGGATGTGTGTGGATAGATGTGATGTATAGATGGGTGGATAGATGGGTGGTGGATGAGTGTGGATGGGTGATGGATGAGTGATAGATGGATAGGTGGATGGATGATGGATCAATATGTAGATGGAAGATGGGTGGATGTTTGGATAGATGGATGATGGATGGATGGATGAGTGGATGAGTCAACAGAAATAATCCCCTCTTTTCCTTTCCTTTCCTTCATGGCCTATTTAACATAAGTCCTTCACTGGTCTGTCATTCAAGGCTCTCCCTTATACTCATAGAAACATGTATAAAAACCTGAGATCAAAGATATGATGCCAGACCCAGTGGAAAATAAAAAGATAAACTGTGTCTCAAAACAATTCCCTAGATTTCCTTCTCATTATTCTCCAGTATGCATTCTTCCAACAATTTAAGTGGTTGCAACTTTCAAAACATCTTCTGTCCAAATGTCATAGCCTAGTGAGCCTGAGCCAAGAATTTGGCCGGAAACATGTTTTGTTTGGCATAGTGTTTTAAAAAGTACTTGAATTTGAGTATGTTTTGGGGGGAAGGTGGCATATACTCTAATTCACACACTAGGTCTGTATCGTCCCTCTGTAGTGCCCACTTAGCCACCCAGAGAACAGGAGTAAACTGTCAATGCCTTTGTGAAACTGTGCTCACTGTTCAGTTTCTCCTTCCTTTTCCATATGTTGATTCTCTGCCCCTGGTTTAACCAGTTCGTGTCAGTTTCTCTTCCTGATCCTGCTTTCCTGTGGCACTGATTGTTCTGTTCTTATAGACAGTATCACTTTTGAATTTATACTGTAGTTATATGTTTCTTATCAGTCTATACGTAGTAAGTACCTGGAGAGCAGGTTTGTCATCTTGCTCATTTCAGTAGCCCTCACAGCATACAGGCACATGCCTAGGACATGATAGGCATTTAATATGCCAAAGTGAATTCAATTAAGTGAAGAAACTACTCTTTTATTCAGGAAAAAAAGGCTGATTTGGAATAAGAGTTTACACTTTAGGTGCATTTTCCATGCAGATATATTCCATAAACTTGTAACTTTTTTTATTTTTGGAGAGGTTTTTTTCTATAAGGCGTGTGCGCTTGCCAGAAAGACAGAGAGAGACAGAGAGACAAAAAGCAAGAGATCACCCCCCCCAGGGGGGATGGCCACATTGCAATCCCTTCTCCTCCATTCTCCTCTCAGGATCTTGGATATGCATGCACACATGCTCAGCGTGAGTTTAAGCCACCGGGTCCAAGACTCGAACCACGGTCGACTACATGGGAGTCCAGCAACATAGCCTCAAGTTGTAACATTTTAATTATGTGATACCACTGAGCTCTCTCTGTACGGGGGCACTCTATGACAATTTTGTAAATACTTATCCTATCCTACCTATCTGTAGTGTGTTGACAGAGGACAGGGGTTCTGTGGTCACACAGATATGGTTTCTGCTCTGCCTCCATCACTTTTTAAATGTGTGGCCTGCAGCCAGTCCTGAAGTTTTCTGAGCCTCAGTTTTCTCACATAACGGTACTCACTCCATGGGTTCCCTGTAAGAACTAAATGATACAATACCTAGAAAGCTTTTAGCTTGGAGCCTGACATATAGTGGGTGTTCAATCAGTGTTAATTTTATTATCTAAAATTGACATTAAGATAAACTAAAATGAATAGAGACAAATGTGACTTTATAACACATGTTGGAATATTCACTCTGTAAGCTAAGTAATGTGATTGAATGTATAAAAAAATATAGAAATAACAAAAAGAAATAAAAAAAATACCTATAAATGTGGCCAGCAGATGGCATGGTGGTTAAGGCACTGAACTCGTACATAGCTGGCCGTGGTTTGAGGCCTAGACTCAGTGGCTTGAAATTCACACCAGCATATGTGTGTGTGTGTGTGTGTGTGTGTGTGTGTCTGTGTGCCTCTAAAATCCCAAGAGGAGAAGGGATTGTGGTATGGCCATCCCCCAGCGGTAAGGGGGAGGGATTTCCCACTTTCTCCCTCTCTCTCTCTCTCTTCAGTGAGTGCACTCACCCTATAGCAAAAAATCTAAAGGAAAAAAAAAGGTATAAATTAAATAAGTTCTTATTCATTGCTCAAATACCTAAGCTAACTCATTATTAACTTTATTTACATTTTAAATTATAATTAAATTTAAAGATGTTTACAGTATATTTATTATGAGTCCTACTTAGAATAATAAAAGGAAGATTAAGCTTACAAAAAACTCTTTAAAATGTTCAACTTTTATGTGTTTTTTTGCCTGCTGGGTGAGCTTTCCCATCAATTAGACTTCTGGAATATTTCCAGATAACAGAGCTTGAAGATACTAAGACTTTTGTTCCCAGAAATAGAATTGACTCTCTGCCTAAATTTCTACTAAAAAAGCATAAAAATCAAGATAATGCAGCCTTTTTGGAGAAGGACTGGAAACTTGGAGCATGGTTAGATTAATACTATGGTTGCAAAGATCAGTGAATAAATTTTCCACCACTAGTTACCATGGCTTTATTTAATTAGAAATCAAGTATTTATGTTTTGCCTAATGATTCTCCTTCAGTCAGTATCAGGAAGAACAAATAAAGTATCTAGAAGTAATTGTACTTTAGGGCCTACTTATTAAGCATTTGTACTAAAAAGGTTCTTATATTTTCCAAATATATTCAAATGCTACATTTTAAACTAATAAGCCATTGTTTTCTTTAATAACTAACTCTATGTGGGGCTAGCAGGTGGTGTGATGGTTAAGGCACTAGACTCCCACATGGTTAACTACAGTTCAAGTCCCAGACCCAGTGGCTTAAAAATCATGCTGGGTGTGTGCATACTCAAAATCCCAAGACGAGAATGGGGGAGAAGGGACTGTGGTGTGGTCACGCTTCCCCCCGGCAGGGGTGGGGGGATGAGGGGAGAAGGGACTGTGGTGTGGTCACGCTTCGCCCCCCCCCCCAAGGGGGGGATGATTTCTCACTTTCCTTCTCTAACTCTCTCTCTGGTGAATGCATGCACCCTATGGCAAAAACCTTAGAAAACAAACAAACAAAAACATCTAGTTCTACGTAATGTAGTGTAAAATAATCACATAAAACACCAAAATAAAGTATGTTAACTGAAAAAAATTTAAAGATCAAATCAATTTGAAAAACTTCTAGTTAGGAAAAATTGGTTATCTACACTCAATATATAGACTGGCCCCCTAGTAAATGTCAAAGAAGGAAATCTGTGGATCCAAGAATTTCAGGGAATAGTGCATGAGGAGTTTGCACTTTTGCAAGAGGAAGTAAGGAAGTAAGTCTGAATGACCTTGTTTCTTCAGTTTATACATGGTGCTTCACATATAACCCAAATTTGGAACTGATACTCAAGAAGATACGATTTTCTTTCTTTTTCTTTTTTTTTTTTTGCCTTAGGGTACATGTACTTGCCAGAGAGAGAGAGAGACAGTGAGAAGGAAAGTGAGAAATCTTCCCCCTGAGGGGATGGCCACATTGTATCATTTCTCCCCCATTCTCCTCCCAGGATCTTGGGCACTCATGCACATGCACCCAGCATGAGTTTCAAGCCAATGGGTCCAAGACTTGAACCATGGTCAACCATGTTGGAGTCCAGTGACATCATCACTACTCCATCTGCTAGCCCCCAAGAAGATACGATTTCCACATTACTGAAGAATTTTAAAGCTCTGCAAGTTACCCATAACCATGTCACCATCACTTTGACATTGGAGAAAGGAAATGGACGGTCCTGGGAATAGTAACACAATGCAAATTCCTTCATTCATTCATCTACTCCACATATTGATACATTCATAACTACCTGCCCAGTGCTGGACACTGTGGCAAATCTCATAAAGTTGACTAGGACACAACTGGGCCCCTGAGGACATTAGAATCTATAAAGGTGGCAGACAAGCAAGAAAATTAATACCATGAGTATAACCACTAAAAGAGATCTAGATCCAAGTCAATGGGAAAAAACAGAAGTTGTAGTAAATAGCTACAATGATGACGTGAGGGAAATTTGCACATGCACACACACAGTAAAATTTCAGCCAGTCCCTGGGAGAGTAAGTAGGATTTTGCCAGCTGTGATGGATGGTAGGCATATGATGGGAGAATGGACAGACTGATAAGAACCTCTTCCATAAAGGCATGGTGTCATTGAAAGGCTGATAGAGTCAAAGTATGTGGGGAAGGTTTTGCTCAACTGAGGATATAACTGAGGCAATAGTTTGGGACTTAGTAGCTTACAGCCTTTTAAGGGAAGTTAACATTTTTTTCATTTATTTTTTAGAAAAGAAAGCAACCATGGAGGTTCGTGGGAGGAGGTAAGGTTACATTTTAGAGCAAGTCAGAATCCCAGGTTGCTGAGACACCCTACAGGAGATTCTGAAAGCCAAAACCATTGTGGGAAGTGGGGTAGAGAAGGGGGTTCAGAAACACATCAAGAGTCTTACCCACCACATGGGTAAGGCTTTTGCTTCTGAAGAGAAATTTTTCCAAGATTTCTGACAGAATGTGTGAGGCAGAGGCACTGCATGATACAATGGTATTAAGAACTTAAGTCTATAAGTCTATTCAGGGACATAAAATGTACTGTTTTCTCTTTCTGGCACCACAGTTCAGTTTTTAAAAATGATCACTCCAGTGGATAGCTTGGCAACTGAATCATATTAACAACTAAGAAGGGTGGATACGGATCTTAGGCATTTCTACCACACCATGGCACCAGCAAGACGCTTTGTTTGTGAATCAAGGATCAGTTCTTTACATATGAAAGTTATTCACTTGAATCTGACATCAATGGATAAACACTCAAGTCCTGGGAACACTTACTCTGCAGTAATCCAATGTAGCAACGTATTCATAAGAGCCGAGAGATAACTCTGGCTTCTCATAGTGGTCCAGTCTTCTTCCAATGTGGTCCAGATGTTGGAAATAGAATGGTGGAACTAATAAAAACAAAACAGGGAAGGAAATCGTTTGTTTTCATAAAAACAAGACAATTTAATAAGGTCTCAAAAATTATTATGGGCAAATAGGAGTTAGGATAAGAACAAAAATATTTCAAAACTAGAGTACAGTATCTTCTATTGGGTCAGTGGAAAAGTCATGATGTATTTTTCTATGGTTTTCTAGGCAAAAATGCATATAACTTTTCTGGTGACCCAATAAATTACCACTACTTTACAAACATGTCTTAGAAAGTATTTCTAAAAAATCCTTCTGATCCTTCTATAAGTTATTGATGACAAAGAACATTTATGACTTAGACCACCCTAAAAAGATGGGATAATAGTACTGAGCTTTTTAAGTTATCATAACCCAAATTTAAATGTCCCTATTTAATGACCTCTTTTATAAAGAATTATGACTTTTCTAACTATTTACAATTCCTATATACCTAGCAGAAATAAATATTGGTTATTTGGACTGTACTATTAACTACAATATTTATTATGCTTTAATTAAGACATGACTCCAGCCATGGGGAGTCTGCATGGTAAACTTTTAATATTTGGTCATAAGAGTGGAGAGGATT